GATGTTCTGAATTAAAGGTACATAAAATAAAATAAAAATAAAGTGCATTTTCAAAACCTTACCTATGCCAAGTCCATAAATCGCCCCGGTTATGTAAAACGCAGTGGCATTGTCACAAAGCGGAATTAAGAGGTTGGTGACACCCATCCCACAGATGGAAAGAAGAAATATGTAGTATGCTGCCTTTTCAGTTGCCATGGAAATGCCGGCAAATATAATACGACCAACCATGCTGCCATAGCCGGGGGCGGTCACGATGAAAGCAGCTTGTGATGGCGTCAGTCGGGACATTGTGGAAGTGAGGTATCCAGGAACGAAGGTGTTGAATGTGTAGTAGCTAAATCCGAGGGTGATGTGAGCGATCGAGGCTGTGATTGTTCCTGGAATCCTGAATATCTCGAGACAGTTGACCATCGTCTGACGCAGCGAGACAGTTTGCTCATGAGAAGAACCTTAAAGAATGGCAAAGGACATTTTGAAAATATTTCTAAATATGATACAAAAACACCAATGATTCCCTCTTTTGAAATGAGCTGAGACTGAATTAAAATATATTACTGTATGATATACTTACTTGTTCTGGCCTTTGGAGTAATCAGCATAGCGCAAGGTATAAAGTGTAGTGTCAGTGCACCATTGATCAGACATGCACCCCGCCAACCAGTCGTGTCCGCAGTAACATCTGATAACGGTGGCCACATCAACATTCCAACGGCTAACCCAGTTACAGATATTCCAACGGCTACAGGTCTCCATTTTGAGAACTGTTTGGTGACATGTATCATGGTTGCTGTATAAGCCAAGCAAGCACCAGTACCTGAGGTAAACAATACCAAACATGATATGTTTCCTTTACAAAGATGCCACTTACATAATTTAAGTATAGTTGGATAAGTATTGATTTTATAGAAACCTATTCTATTTGTCCAATACGTAGTAATCAAGTTCCATGTGTAATGTTTTTGAAACATTACTAGGCTTTCACCACATAAAAATATGTGTACTTGATTAAAATGTTCTGTATGTCCTATTCGTATTCAAAGTCAGTAAATTATTTTCTCAAATTACTTATCATTTGACAAAGGCTCATAAACATATGCAATTGTAGGATAATATATTAAATTTTCCCGTCAAGTAGGGATGATGTTAATATGAAACCTTCCTAGGAATTACTAGCCTTTAGTATTTACCCACATAAACTCAATACGAACTGATGCAGTACAGACCTGGAAACACACCAAGTGCGAAGTACAACACGTTCAGGTCGTTCACCTGGCTGCCGATGATAAAGCCAGCGACAGCCAGCAAACCTCCAAACAACGTGGTCCAGCGACCCCCGAGGCGATCCACACAAACCACCCCAAGTAAAGCTGGAATAAAAATAATCTGAGTTCATTATTATTGGTACATACCTCTGTTTTCAGTTGTGATGGAATGGATGATCAAATGTCCAGTTTTTACATTTGTAACAACATATTTAGTTTTAAAATTTTAAAAAGAATCAAGACCTAAAGCAGATCGACATTCTGATTTGCTAGTCTGTTGTTGGCTTTTACTTCTACTTCAATATATTCTGGTATCTATTTCTACTGCATATCAATAGATTGTAATTAGTGCCGTGTGTGCAACTAAAACATTATACCGACATAAAAATGGGTAAATCTTTATGTTTTGATCCACATAATAATGTTTGAGTTGGCCTAAGAAGTAATGCTTGAATGCCTTGAAACAAACTTGCTGTAACTGACAGTTTCTTCAGGAATTACTTAACTTTTACAACTATATCTTCAGAAACCTGAACGCTTACATGCAATCCCACAAAATCCGCCGTAGAGAGATCCTATCCAAGTCACCTCCTCCTCTGAGACGCCAAGAGAGTCCTTCATGTATGTATACATTACTCCATACGAAGTTGCCAGACCGCCATAAAACATGTTGGCAACGAAACAGCTCACCACCGACCCAATCTGCCAGTATGTACTTGTGGTAACTCGAGGGGTTTCATCAGGAGAGCTAGCCACAGAGATGCTGTCTTTAGTTGCTTGCCTGTGATGAAGTCTTCCAACATTGTCACCATCTGGACGACGACTGGGACACTTCTCGACTCGACATGTCCCCATCCTGAAGTCACCAGGAACATCCAACACATCGCCGGAAAGCATTATAACAAGCTGAAACACACAGCAACGCTGCTAATGAGAACACCTACTGGAAAGCAGCAGGGTGAATGTGATGTGATGATGTAGCCTCTCTCGTTCACCCAGTGTGGAAAATATGTGTCATCCATGAGAAGTCATACCCTAATAATGTAATGCCGAGACAAATTACACCTATTTATTCTGGCTCTGTCCAGACTTGTGCTACGTGAGCTGGAGGTACTGTCCTCATGTGGGGCAAAAACACTAGGCAGCTGGACTTGTTTCACTGTGAGTTCCTTTGGTGTTTTTGAGCAAGACTAGCTGTGTGTAACATTATACTTAAAAAATATCAATGTATTTATGATAGCATAACATGAAACTAATATTGACCTAAATGATGGTACCCTAAGACAGTCTCAATCTGTTGACGAAAGCAATGTATTTTATAACAGAGTATTTACGGTAAGTTCGCAGTATCATTACACAAATAATGTTCCACGAAATTAATTAACTGACAACTGAGTAGAATATGTTCAGAGAAGCACCCACGACAATCCTATGCATAGTACCCCGTGCCTATTCCGTTAACTACGACCGTTGTTCAGTAAAAAAAATACATACGTAGAGCATTTTCGGTACCCCGCAGAGAGTGTTTACATGAGAAACATAACATTTTACTTAGGTAAAGCAGGTACACATTTTGGTTACTTTGGTGACTACGGTAATGTGACTCAACGGCGATACTGCTATTGAAATTTCCAGTATATAAGGATTCATGCTATAACATATATAAGAGAGAATACAGTACTATTTTTACTTAAACAATACGGACAACGTGAAAAACAAGAACACATTGATGCGAAACATCAACACAGTGGCAACAGATTAGCATCTCTTCATTTAAACAGCAAACAAATAAATTTTACCTCAAAATATTATTAACAGTGGCATGTTAAGAACAGAAATGGGTAGTACTGGGTTCAGTTCATCTACGGAAACTCAATGGTGCTACTTGTGATAACATAAATGTAACCTTGTTACTGAAAACCATTGTTATTTCAGTTATTCATTCATATATAATTTTTAGAAATTTAGAAATTTGTTTACGTCACGTAGATTATATTTTAGCTAATTCAAGTTCGTGTAAGAAACTCAAATTTTCGAAAAAAATCCGGTTGCTCTTATGATTTTCTGGTTGATGCGATTATAATCTAGTCATTAAAATATTTCCTTGGGATTTCAATTACCAAATAACGATTTCTTTTTTGTTAGATAAATTAGTTTGTTATTACTTCTCGTGTATACATTTTTATTTCAAATACTCGAAATTTTGATCTTTTGTTGTTGCTTCGATTATTTTTCGTTGCTTTGAATTTGTTTCGTAAGTTCTAATATTTTCTCAAGATGTTCAGTTTTTAATTAAAACTTGAAGAAACAAGTAAATAGTCGATGTAATAAGAAACTAATCTAGGTTTCTAAAAAAACAGCCCATAAAACAATTGAGATCACGAAAATATTATCGGAGTGACGAGAACGATTTAGAGCTTCAGTTGTTTCGTGACATCAACACACACTTAGATTATTTAATAATATAAGTACAAGTGATGTGTAAGGTAACAAATGCAGGTACCATCCAATCACTTGAGGCCTGGGATGCTGCGTCAATGCTTGGATGTACTCCTCGGATAATCTGAACCGATAATTCGTTTCAGTGATTTCTTGCAGATCGTTATGATTGTTCTTACTACCATCTTATGAAAATATTTGTGGGTTTTAAAAGTTCTCCTCTCAACATGATGAAAACAAGATGTTCCGATTTCCACCAAAAAAAACGGTTTGATATGACATATGGTAGTATGTTTAGTATTGTGTAGTATTAGTTCGATATATAAATCCTGGGAGCGGGTTGTCAGTAACTGTGTTGATGTCACCCTATGACAGTTGATGTCACCCTATGACAGTTGATGTCACCCTATGACAGCTGTGTAGACTGATGCGCAGAAGGTCAATCACTGTGAAGGTCCGGGGTAGAATTGATCTTCAGTAATCCATGCTTGTCGTAAGAGGCGATTAACGGGATCGGGTTGTCAAGCTCGCTGACTTGGTTGACACATGTCATCGTATCGCAATTGCGTAGATCGATGCTCATGCTGTTGATCACTGGATTGTCTGGTCCAGACTCGATTATTTACAGACCACCGTCATATTTGGAATATATATAACACCGTTGGAATTTTGCTGAGTCCGGCGTTAAACAACAACCCAACCCAATCGCTGTATTGTTTGGTCCAGATTTTACAACAAACAATATATACACTCGTCGTTTATGACTCGTTAGCCTTTTGTGTGTCTCCAAATCTGATTACAGTGAACGTGTCTTCAAAATGGCTCTGTTACGTCCATGTCACAGCACATGTTATATGAACAGCAAATTATTCTAATGAAGATTTGAGTATACAATATGGAATAATGTTTAGCATAGCCTGTTTACACTGGACAAATAGTAGTTCTTCGCTCTCTGGAATAATAATGTATAAATCACTGCAGGTGTGGAGAGAAGGTTGTTGTAGTCGTCCAAACCATCTTGAGTGAGGGAGTGAGTATGTGAGTGCGATTTTACGCCGTTTTCTAGCAATATCACTGCGGGGGACACCAGAAATGGGCTTCACACATTGTGCATGTGGGGAATCGAACCCGGGTCTTCGGCGTGACGAGCGAACGCCTTATCCACTAGGCTACCCCATCGCCCGTCTTCATTGTTTGTGAAGAGTTACGTCTCTTGTCTGCCTCACTTAGCACAGGTAATGAAACGTGTTACGTGGCATTAGAAATCTATTATCAGATATTACGACAATGCATATGTCTGAGAAAAGTGGTTTATTCACATTTACATGTACAATCATTAACCGCGAAGATTGATGTTCTTCCTATAATCGTTTGTGGTTTGTTCATTTGTTATCCACTGATATGGAAACACGGCCGTAATTCAAACGACATGCCAGGTATACCTCAGTGGATGTCATACAGGACTGTCGATGGAATCTAGTTCCACTGCCTGGTTGGTTACTCCCGTAACGGCGGGGTCGTCTCTGTGTCGGGATCCACGTTGTCGTCTGAGCAGGAAGGGAAGGACGACCAGGATACTACTGATGAATGAAGCTCCGGTGATGTAGAAGATGACCTCCTTGTGACCAAACACATCGGCCAGGTAACCTGAATGAAACAAACTGATATTGACAGGACAAGAGTCTGAGCATCCTGCACGAGAACACATTCTGGATTGTTTCTAAGCCCCAGTAAGTATTGTCAAGTTGATTAACCAGATGCATCAAGCTGGTAAGGAATAGAGCTATGGGCATGGCAGACCACCTGTATATGTAGTCACAGGTTTGTGGGTCATCACAGACAGATACTTGAAACATTGCTAAAATATAATATACTACTGAAAAACATAAAATATACTCCTAAAAATCAGAACAAATCCCATATGTTTAGACCCTCTACTAATGACACATGTACCAAGTTCTATTGAAAGAGTGATCAATGCCTGGAGTGGAGAAGGTCGGTGACTCGATACTCGACCACCGTATACCAAAAGACGTTAAGATATGGGACTGAATACATCCGTTTCTGGCACCATGTATACGTATTTATTGGATGAAACATTAATGGAGTAGACGGATAGACAGTAATCGTGATCTTTTTTCATGTCACCTCGTTCCACTTAACCCCTTTGAGCCAACACTGAGAAAAGAATATAATTTCAAGTTTCAAAGGGGTCGAAATGCCAAGGTAAAATTCGGGCTGAGTAATTGCCATAAATGGGTTTGTAGAAATAGCTACACATGGCAGCTTATTTGAATCCGGATTCGGACCTTGTGAACAAATCAGGGTTTCTTCGTTGGTAGAAACAAGCATGTGAAGCTTCAGCTTGTTTGCTGCAGTGCTTCTCGGAAGACGATGCTTGTGACACAGACGGACGACAAACTGGCCCCGGCATTAGCTCGCCTTCCCTAAGTACATACATCTCCGTCCACGTATAGTATCTACCTTCCACATGAAAGTATTCTTCCATATCCACAAATAGCTCAATTGAGGTCGATGGACGGAGATGGGAATTTTAACCTTGGCTACTCTGCAAAAGGAGTGTGCACATAATCAGCAAGGGAGGCTACTCTGCAAAAGGAGCGTGCACATGGTCAACACGTTAGGCTACTCTAGTTCTAACACTGGGTGGTGCGTTAAGTTTTCTGACATTTGAAACAAATTAAATCATGGCCTCACTTTATTGACTGTGTTTGAACTCGATATAATAATATCATCTAAAAATGTTACCGCTGACATTGTATGAATATCAAACAAAGATTATTGTTCTTTTGGAAGTGATAAAATAGATATGCTTTGTCATCATATGTAGGGATCCATGTTTTAACAAAGTGTAAACGTCTTAAGGCCTGATTAAGCTTTTCTGGTACATTAAGTTGATATACTATGATGAGACTGAATCACAGTTGAAAACTGACTCATTCATTCACTTAATCCCTCAAAGATTTAAAGTTTAAGATACGACATTGAGATACAAGTACTTACTCTGCAATGGCGGGCCGCACAGTGATCCAATACCTTGCATCAGCAACTGGCCTCCAAGGAACTTAGGAAGATTCTCAAGGCCGAACAATCTGACCAACATGGGACACCATACCACAGAGAAGCCTCCTAAATCGAGGACAGTCATAGAATAATGAACAAACATTGTTCATAGGTACATCTGAAATGCAATTGTGCTTAGATAATTGGAAACCGATGTTACAAGGACTTTTACTCAATAATAATAAGTTACATCTAAAATATATAGAACAATTTCTTTGTATAAACAGCTTCATATAAAGCAATGGAAAGAAAACTTCTGATAGCGTGACCGAAACTCACCGCAGGCCAATCCATAAAATCCTCCAGTAATGTAGAAGTCGTTCATATTCTGACATAGTGCCACTATAATATTTATCAACCCACAAGCAGTCGTAGCTGTAATGGATATATGGAGTGGAAAATTTTGATTGAGCATAGCTACTACGCTGAAAAGACATCTGCCAAATATATTTCCCGCTCCAGAAATGGAGACAATCAGCGCAACTTCTGATGACGTATGGCCCGGAAGTGACGTCATCACATAGTCCGGGATGAATGTGGGGAAAGACATTATACCAAGTCCTAAGAAAAAGTAAGAGAGGCAGAAGGTGTTGTACCCAGGAACTTTAGTTGTAACCTGTTCTCTGAATCGTTTCCATAGAGACCCCTTTTGAACCTTGCGGCTGTCCCAGGTAACCGGAACTGCAATATGACATTGAAATTACATGGGTGTCGTTTCGTGTGTAATGTTATAAGCAAAGCAATACAAATCTGGCCCGGGAAGACCACTGACTATAAACATTTTGAGGAGGTGACCCACACAAGCGAGTCACGAGGACACGACATCTGACACGTCACACAGCTTGACCTACTGATATGATTTTAGTTTCCTCTTAGAGCTATGGCAGACCCTATTCAGAGGCGGAACCAGAGGGGGGTGCGCAACCCCCTTCCCCGAAAGAAATTCCCTGAGGAGCATTTCCCCCTAACTTTGGTCTTCATGATTTATGTGCACCCCTTTTCTCCAAAATCCTGGATCCGCCCCTGCTTTTGTAAATACATCTATGGAATCCTATGTAAAGAGCACTAACAGGAATGATAGAGAGAATCGCCTACCTTTCGTGAGATTGGGTTTGATCCACAGCGCACATGGAAGCATGTGTAACACCAATGCACCATTAATAAGAAGAGCGCCCCGCCAGTGAAACGTGTCAGCTAGACTGGACATCAATTGCGGCCATACAAGACCAGCAACTGCCCCTCCAATGGTTGCACCACCGGCAGCAAGTGGCCGCCATCTTGAAAACAACCGGTTAAGATGAACGGTGGAGGAGATGAAAACGAGCGATGAACCTACGCCTAGTGACAAAACAAAACAATTGACTGAAAAGAAATAATATTTCCATGCTCATTGAAATGTGACTAAATCTATCTTGACAGTAGAATTATGCAAAGTCCTAATATTCTATATGTATGGGTTTTTACAAAAAAGAAGTGCGTTATGGCTGAAATACTGCCAACGTGATGATACATTTTAACTCACTCACTCAAAGAGAAGGGGATCACAAAGTATAAAGTCTGTAATGTAATGACCAGTACGATGAGCGTTTCACAGTCTGTGTTTCACTGCTCTATCGCAGCTCTACTATGCACCACCTATCAAAACACGTCAAGTTTGAAATTTCCCATGTAACACTTTCCCAGATCTCCCGTTATTGTCCTTCCAAACTGATATCTCTTACAATTCTGGAAATTTGGAGTTATTTCCGAGTATCCCTAACTCTTTTCAAGAGTATGTATGTGTATTTCTGATGAAGAGTTACGTTGTGGTTAATCATTTTTCTTAAATCTATAAAGCTACTTTCAAAAACAAACCTGGCAAAACTCCAAGTGTTAGATAAAGGACATAAATACTACTTGTCTGACTGCTGACTATCACAGAGGAGGCAAGTACAAGGCCTCCAAGCAGGTGGGTATAACGACTACCCACTCTCTCCACTAACACTGACGTCAGCACAGCTGAAACAAGCAACACATACATTATTCTACTGTAAAATAGATAGCAAGCCTTTTAAAAATACAGTTGAGCAACGAAGGCTGAAAATATTTAATATTTACTTTGTACATGAATGTGCAACCGATACATTTTATGTTATTTCAGTATCAAAGATTTATATGTAAACGTATCAAAGTGTGAGCACATATTACAGGCAGGCTTACACGTGAGACCATAGAAGCCACTCATGAGAGAGCCGATCCACGCCAGCTGGTACTCGGTCACCTCGAGGGGCTCCCTCATATAGGTGTAGAGGACACCGTAGGTCTCTGTAAACGAGTTAAAAATCATAATGGACATGAAACAACTGATGAAAGCTACAGTTTTCCAGTATCGATCATGATCGCGTTTTGTATGTTCCATTACGTTGTCCGAGCGGGATAGATGTTCAATGGCCATTGTCTTTGTGTTTGGTGTCATCACTACTGTTGCCCGGCACCTTACAGCAGACAACGCACGTCAGTCGTCAAGTTCTCAGTCGTGAGAATGAATCTGTTGTATTAACAGTGTTGCTATTTTATAGCTGTAAAACGGGGTTGTGTCCAGCCCACTCTGGTCGTAACCGGTATTTTCAGATTTCCCCCCACTAACGTGCATGACTTTCAATGTAAAGGGCGTTACTAATTGGAAAATGTTATTCGTAGAAATTGTTAGTCAGTAGAAACACGTCACTAGAAAAAATGCTGACGTTCACTTACACTAATGTAGCGAAACTATTTGGTAGTCCAAACTGAACCAACGCCTATACATTTCATATAGAAAGGAAAGATTTGCCACTGTGGCAACAGCAATGCTCCGTTCTCTATCCAAATGCTTGTTCGAGAGGTTCGGGCTTCTTTTTTATCTTTTTTTGTATGTAATGAAAGCGCATGTGTGTGTGTGTGTGCGTGCGTGCGTATGTGTGTGAATAAGGAGGATGCTTCACGAGACAGCTGGAATATTGCTGAGTGCGACGTAAAAGAAAACTCACTCACTCGAGTCAGCTGTCTCCACTTACACACTACAACTGTGGTTATACGCTTGACACATGTCACCATTATCCCAATTGTGTAGATCGATGCACATGATGTTGGTCACTGGATTGTCTTGTCCAGAACCGATTATTTACAGACCGCTGCTATATAGCTTGAATATTGCTGAAAAAAACCCCAACTTCAATCCCGTTCTCAGATGAGGAATAATTGTTTTTGCTACGTTCTGCAAGCGATACTCTTAATGGAATATTCAGTTTAACTCACAAAATTCAGACAAAAATACCGGCAAGAACCTTGTCTGAGTGTTCTACAACCACAGGCCTATGACGAATAACAATTTAGACAAACAGAAGGGACACAAAACAGCACTCCACCAGGAATAACCCTACAACGAATTTTTTTCATCTTTAGCAGAAGCAGTTGATTGTCAGGCGGAAAAGTGTGTGTGAATGTAAGTGAGTGTTTGTGTGTGTGTGTGTGTGTGTGTGCGTGCGCGCGCGTGTGTGTGCGGGAAAGCGCTCGTGCGTGCGTGTGTTTGTGTGTGTGTAGTGATACAGATGTGTTGGTAGACTAACGGTTAGTCTCTGACTTTACATGATTTTCATAGAATCAAATAATTCCTATTAAATTGAAAATTAGCCCCAGTGAGATGGGAGATGTTAAGCAAGTCTAGACGTGCTTCTCATCCAGTATAAGAATAATTCTGGACAACTCATCATGGCCGACTCGATCCAGTGCCACAATAACACACGTCACGCTCAGGGTAGATAGATGTTGGCGTCAAGTGGAGCTACTTTAACACAGTGTTTGTAGGTAGGAAATTAAGAATATGCCAAACAGCTCTGGCCTTCATACATTATACAAAGTCAGTTTAATCTCTCCACTCTCTTTAATCGTAGAATATGGGTCATTTTAATGTATGGCCTGATTTGTCTGAATTGCTAACAGCTGAAGGGAAGGTGTAAATCCAGCTGGTGTCCATGCAAGAAGCAAATGTACTGTAAGTCCCCATGGTCTTTTTTTAGTATCGTGATTTACCTTCAGGTGTTGGCAATCTATGGTCTGTTTTCATATTGTATTGTACACTTTCATAATATCGTTTTATGATAACATGCTAGTTTTACTTTAATATATGTGATACACTGGTGGTTTTACTGTTCTTCGTCAAAACAGACTTTTTAATTCTAATTGTATTGAACTATAATATAATATGGCTGAAATATTGCCGTTGTGACGATATATATTAACTCACACACTCACTCACTTATACAGTTATAACCCAGCTAACACAAAACGTTTCTAAAACGTTTTCTAGTGATTTTTCATGGAAATGTTTCATGAAAACGTTTTTTTGAACGTTATTTTGAAACGTTATAAAAACGTTTCGAGTAACGTTGTTAAAACGTTATCAAGAAACAAAATGCCAACTTCTACACACCAACGTTTTAGAAACGTTATTGAAACATTGGCGAAGGTTTCCCAAAAGTTTGATTGAAACCTAATTACAACGTTATAAGATCGTTAGTGGAACATTTTGAGGTTAAATATTCCTGATAACAATGTCTCCGTCCACTACAGGAATGTACATTAACTTGAAAATAATAGTCATGAAATAACACCTGTACAAAAATATTTGTGAGAAAACTCGAAAAGTGTTGTGAACATTTTGTCAAGTGGAATAGTATGTCATGTGTTTCATTAATATCATTTATTTTTGTACTGTACTATTTACTACAGATCCAACATTGTATTGTAAATATAATCCCCGTTTACTGCTGTGCGTTTAAGTTTTCCGCTTGGACAGCTCGCTATCTCTTGTATGGTGTCAGCTTACAAGAATGTTCCCAGATACTTTGTCAGGTCAGAGCAGGAACCCGTGCATTCAAAATCGGACTCAGTACATAGCAGGCGGGAAGTTCCATCACATTGCTGGATGTAGAAGACGGTACATTTTACTTTAGTGACAAGAAGACAGGTTTCTAACAGGAAGTATGTATATTCACATTATTGTTCTTCAGTCAAATTCTATATCTTGCCTTGGGAACGTTCATCCTTTGTAACTGTACGTATTCCTGTGATGTTTTCTGAACATATGTGTGATAGCTTGTGGCATAAAATCTTTGTGACGTAGTGTTAGAATGAGTGTTTACTACATGAGCATCAATGTTCACATGATCAAAATCAATACTACAAGCAAAATGAGACAGTCTGTTTATATATGTTTGCAGAGTGGTAAATTAATAAATGCACATTCATATCCAATATATGTCACAGTGTATCTGAGTTTGTGATATCAATTAAATTACAAAGAAACGTCGACTTTTAACTTAACTATAATAGTACCATTTATTAAATGACTAAAGTGTAGACATGTGTTCAAATATAGGAATTTTCTCTGTTTCTACTGCCCCGTATCCAATCTGCCGACACAGATTTGTTCACGTAGACACTCTTGCTTATCAGCGATGTACAGGAAATCAGGGGGTTATATTACATTCGAGTCGGTGACTCCAGCTCGTTATTTTATAGCAAACAATACGTCACTTCCCTAACAACCAGACCATGATTCCTCACAACAAATGTCAGTCCCCTCATAAGTAAATATAGTATGCGACTTTTAAACAAGAAATGAAGATGAGTCATGAAGAAATACTTTTAAATAAAAGTTCATCCTGCCATTAAAAGGCAACTTATCATTTATAACTTGGGCCAAATGTAAGAAATACACAATATTCAGTTCCGTAAAACTATTGTGAGTAACAACTTCCTTATGTAAATGATCCCCGTATTTTGGGAAAGTATCATACAATATAATCAGATGAAATCACTTGCACAGTTTGACAAATTGTTTTTATTTGGTTGGTAATAAATTCCTATTGCATATGATTAATGGTCTACTGAGGTTGATTGATCTGTATCTATTTTGTAAGTTTGCGATAAACACAGGTGGGAATTTGTACTCTTCAACATAGTTTCATGACACAGAAACATTTATTTAGCAGTAATTTAGCATCATCAAGAGTGAAGTGACAGTAAATATTCATAGATTTTCTTTGTGTTTTTTTTCAGAAGCCAACACAGACGCAAGAAAAGCCCGATGACAATGATGACTGATTATTTTCCATATGTATTGACGAAATGAAGAATTCTTTAAAACATATCATTGTTTTGTTTTAATTTTCACTAATAATAACGGATGACATGATTAACAAATAATTTACTTACGTGTATGTATTTATTGGACGGGATTCAAAACACTTGGTGTTGGTAAACTAGCCTTGCAACGATATCAGAAGATGATATCGTTACTGAAGATTCAACCCCAACGTTTCTGAAACGTTTTAAAAACCCCATGGAAAAACGTTTTCAAAACGTATTCAAAACGTTTTTAGAAGGTTTCTAATGTTTCTCGCCAACGTTTCGTCAAAACGTTTCTGAAACGTAAAAAAACTCCACAAAATTAGGTTTTAAATACGTTTTTTTGTACGTTTTTAAAACCATACGGAAACGTTTGTTTTCTAAACGTTTTCACAACGTTTCTGTGTTAGCTGGAAAAGTTCAACCTTTTCCCCAAGTACATAATATATGTAATTACGCAAAGCCAGGATGTATACCCTCGAAATATAAACATTATTCTGACGTCAGTTCCCTATATGAGTATATCTCTCGTGTAATTATGATAGAGCTGGTATCCCAGAGTCTACAGAGTAAATTAAGGGGTCCAGGATGAGGGGGAAAGAATAGATATTCTCAGTTCCTGATATTAAGACATGGTGAGATCGATTACTGTGTGTGCTGGCTATTACGTGAGAGACTCTGAGAGTTTGGGTTCGAATCCAGGATCCCTCAAACCAAAACTTTGATTGTTAGTCTGTATAATACGGAGAAACTGTAATCCCAAATAAAACATCGTTTCTAATAAATATTCACATAATGGTGTTTATTGTTCTTCTGATTATCATTTAAATGAATACTCGATAAATGCCTTTGTTTAACCATGGATGAAAACATGCCCTACAGTGTCTGTGTTGACAGAGGTGAAGGAACGATTATTCCTCCTTGTTGCCCGAATCATCTTGATGACACAAACATCACTTGATGGTGTACAGAGACAGTCTCGGCAGTCGACCCAGTAATAGAATCTGACACGCCGTGTGGCAGACTAACCCGTTCTTCCATGTCCTAGTCATGTACAGCGATTCGAGAAACCCAGGTCACAGAGTAGGAAATGAAACTTTCATAGCGTCATTCCAGAATACTGGCTCCGAATCCCAACTCTATGACTTCCTATTCAAGGAACGTTCTGGAGGATATATGGTGTGATCTAGTTTACTCCGTATGAGTATACTGTAACAGCTAAATATGGATTTCATGCTTTGTTTCGTTCAGTGGTATTATTAATACTTATGACCAAATGGTCAAACAATATGTATGGTCTAAAAAATTCATCTGGTATTTCAGATTGGAATTAGAATTAAAAA